CCACCAGCGCATTCACACAGGAGAGAGACCTTTCAGCTGCAGTCAGTGTGGGAAGAGTTTTAGTAAGTCAAGTCACTTAAAAAGGCATCAGCGCATTCACACAGGAGAGAGACCTTTCAGCTGTAGTCAGTGTGGAAAGAGTTTTAGTCAATCACACCTCTTAAAACGACATCACCGTATTCACACAGGAGAGAGACCATTCAGCTGCAGTCAGTGTGGGAAGAGTTTTAGTAAGTCAAGTCACTTAAAAAGGCATAAGCACATTCAAACAGGAGAGAGTCCTTTCAGCTGCAGTCAGTGTGGGAAGAGTTTTAGTAAGTCAAGTCACTTAAAAACCCACCAGCGCATTCACACAGGAGAGAGACCGTTCAGCTGTAGTCAGTGTGGGAAGAGTTTTAGTCAGTCAAGTAACTTAATAACCCACCAGCGCATTCACACAGGAGAGAGACCGTTCAGCTGTAGTCAGTGTGGGAAGAGTTTTAGTCAGAAAAGTCACTTACAATTACACCAGCGCATTCACACAGGAGAGAGACCATTCATGTGCAGTCAGTGTGGGAAGAGTTTTAGTTGGAAAAACCACTTACAATCACACCAGCGCAGTCACACAGGAGAGAGACCGTTCAGCTGCAGTCAGTGTGGGAAGAGTTTTAGTTGGTCAAGTAACTTAATAACCCACCAGCGCAGTCACATAGGAGAGAGACCGTTCATCTGCAGTCAGTGTGGGAAGAGTTTTAGTCACTCAAGTAGCTTAATTATCCACCAGCACATTCACACAGGAGAGAGACCATTGTAGCGGCAAGGTTTATTAAAATACAGGAATTAAGTTTGCTGCTCCCTTGCCAGTCTCTCTCTCCCTCATCTCAAGTGGTGCTTGATACAGAGAGGCCATTCTATTTGGTTCACATTTAAGGTGTTTTTCTAGCTGATAAGAGTGTTCTGATAAGGAACAACTCCCAAAGCTGAGACACGTGAATGGTCATCACTAGTGCCTCACTGTCTGGGAGATTCCAAGGGAGAGTCTCATCCCAAGTGGTTTACAACCCCAAGGTCAGAGTTCATGGTTACTCATCCTCACAGGGGGCACCAATAAATGTAGGCATCCTCTCACAAGGCACCAATAACTGTAGAGGTTTGTACATTTACTGGGACAATTGTTAATTGTAGCAGTAAGTCACAAAATGATTCTCGAATGCCCATGGAACTTTCAACCAATGAGCGACCGTAGTTCCTCCAGGTACAACTCCAGCTCCTCCTGGACATCCTCAGACTCAGCTCAGACAGTCACGTAACAGCCAGTGTGTCCCAGTGCCAGGACTTTCCCTTGTTCTAAGAGTCGAGAATGGAGGTTGCCAGCGTGTAACCAAAGGATCCACCCGAGGTTAGCCCAGCAGCAAGCCTCGTGAGCCCACCGCGAACGCTCACCTGATCAACGAGTGAACTACGGTCGGAACTGTGGACAGCTGAATATCAGTATTCAGGACTCGCGCTACATCGGGAACGAACCGGTCTTCTTCCTGTCTAAAGATTTTTCTGTGTGCAAACTCTGCTAGTTTCAGCCAACACTAACTAGCCGGTCTTCAGAGAGCATCAGCAGCGCACCGCAGCAGAAATCTCTCTCTTCCTTCTCCTTCTCTCACGTCGAACCAGCACTGCCTGGCACCGGGCCAGAGAGTGCCGATTGGACACAGCAACAGCCTGCCACTGCTTCTTTGTGTCCGCTGGAGATCTGAATCCCCACAGAGAGGATGAGTATTCAACATTCTGCATTACAGTTCAAGAATTCAATTGTTACCTCAACCTGAGTTGATAGCAATTTAATTCCTATGAGTCATGTACTGGCTTTTGAGTATCTAATGTACAAGTTGTAACAAAGTTCATTTACAAAACAGTCTAAATGAATGATATTACGGAATGTATGTCCCTCTTGGTTTGTAACTCTTCGTGATTGAATATATACCTTTTGTATACTGCTAACCCCCTCTATAAGATCTGTTATGTTTATGCACATTTTATGTATTAATAAATGTATTGTCATGTATTAGTATCTGCGTGTGTGCGTTGTTTGAGTTATCCTGCAAGGTTGATTCTAATAGCCATCAGAAGAATAATTTTTGTGACTTACTGCTACAATTAATAATTGTCCCAGTTAAGCTCAAACCCCTAAATTTACTGGTGCCTCGTGAGAGGATGCCTATAGAGTAAAGAACAGGAACATGTAAGATGATTAATATACATTAATATACCCATCAACTCGATTCAGGGTTGTGGTGGAACTGGAACAATCCTGGCAAGCAGTGGGTGCAAAGCACTATCACAGATAATGTGACACCAGTCCATCACAGGACTCACTCACACCATGGCCAATTTTCACAGAAGCCAATTAAAATCCATGTCAATACAGAACAACAGACCTCCACCTCCATAGCTTCCATGTTGTACAGTATTTTGAGAAAATCTGGAATGTACCTTTCTTTTTTATCAGATGTTTAATCTTAAACTAAGCTGTAATGCCCAGGTCAGCAGCTGTGAAGGGAGACGAAGAAGTTTTTCATTTCATCTGCGGGAAAGCCAATTCACAGTCCTTCCAAAGACTTGAGAAGACTGCATGAGAAGTAAGCAGAATAATATATTACTTTAATTTCTATGGTGTCATGCCCCACACTTTACCTCCAAAACGCTGTTCTATCCCTGTCACACCCCACACTCTCCCTCGCAAACGCTGTTGCATTCCCAGAACCACTGTTTCATAATCTCATCCCTGATTGAACCCATCACATTCTCACATGCACCAGATTCCTCAAATTCTCACTCCCTAACCAATTATCCAATCACACCCCTTTCCTTTCAGTATTTAAACTCCCCTCACACACGCATCCCCACGCTCACTATTGAGAAGCCTCTTGTAGTATTCTTCAGTGCGTGTTTCCAAGCCTTTTGACTGATCTCCTGTTATGAATCTTCTGCCTCTGCCTTTTGACCTCGCCTTCTGGATTTTGTCTTTTGGATTGTTTTTGGATATCGTTACCGGACCCTTTGCCTCCCTTATCGACCCAGCCTTTGGATTTCGTCTTTGGATCGTCCCTTTGCTACTTTGTGTTTTGTGGGATTCCGGTCACGCATAAGGATCCTCCAATTCTACCTATAGGTTCCCTGACACAGACGAGGGGAGTCCTGGTGTCCGTGTGGCGGCGCAGCTGGTAAAAATGCTCCCTGTGCTGTGTGTGTTGTGAGCTGCTGGTGTTTC